CTACAGTTACACACATTTTTTCACAAACCTAGAAACAAGATTGTTTTCTTCAGCTGTAGCTGTCTGATGTTACAGATGTGTTTGTTTGTTTGTTTGTTTGTTTGTTTGTTTGTTTGTTTGTTTGTTTGAAGCTTTAAAGAGCAGAAGACACAAGGTAAACGGATCCTGGTGCAGTTTTGGACTGGGCCCGCCTGCTGTCTGAGACGTCCCTGCCTCCGGCTGAGGGATGGACGGGAGACGGCATCAGTCAACACGGGACAAGGTCAGACCTCCACACGGACAATATTTATGGAGCAGGACACAAACTGTGGAGACAAATGGGACCAGACGGTTTAACCCCTCGCTGCCTGAGAGGAAATACAGAACCTGGACCAGAACCACTGCTCATCTGAGGAGCATTCATCAGTAAAATGTCTAATAACACGATTAAATATCATCTTTCATAAAGTCTGAAGACASAAAAGAAAAAAATCAACAAAGTTAAATGAGTCAGTTAAAAACAGGTAAGTTTGTTGTTTTGCTGACAGAGGTGTTGTTGATTAGCTGCGGCGGCCATCTTGAACTGTTTCATCCAACGATTCCTTGCTGACATGACGACACTGATTCACATCAGAAACAATAGAAACAACAATAAAACAATCTGAAAACACAAACAGAGCTTCAACAGATCGACGAGCTCTAAACTACTCCACATCTCACAGCTGGTTGGGTAAATGTTCTGATCCAGACGCCACGCCGACCCGTTCCACTCCAGACAAGCTGAGACAAAAATCCCCTCGTCTAATAAACAGGAAACACATCTCAATCAGAACGCAGCGCGTCTGTGGGAGGAGCCCCGTGTGCAGATTAGCTGAGCTATCAGAGGAGGATCGTATTTCAGAACCTTCTTCCAGCAGACCGGGTTCAGTTTCCTGCCTTTAATATATGAAGAGCTGCGCATCGATAAGAGCAGAACACCTGAGCATCAATCAGTACCTGATAAGAACCGCTCTGCCTCTGAGAACAGCCTGGTGTGTGTGGCTAAAAACCACAGAACGTCCTCACAAACACTGCACCGTTTCTACAAATGTCTTCATCACGAAAAACAGTAGAACCTGTCCTGCAGTACCTCAGCTGGGCCTGTGTGAGGCGTCCTGCAGTACCTCAGCTGGGCCTGTGTGAGGCGTCCTGCAGTACCTCAGCTGGGCCT